CTTAGCAAATTAGCACTAAGGTCTTTTAATCCGGTGAAGCCATAGAAGTAGGGAAATTAGGATTATTAGATCACAAGCAAAGATAATTCATATTGCTTAGTTTCATTTCTCAAGGACTCCCACTAGGGTAGCAAATGTCTTTGAAATAGTTTATTTTTCTTTTTATTCTCTTTAATATCTAAATTAGATGTCTCTCCCATCCGCTTCAGTGCCTAGCCTAGCCCTGAAGCATTCATGAAAACTGTGGAGAGTCCATTTACATTTGGATTTAAGAGAAATGAATCTTAACTCAGAATCTTCTTTACTTTGCAGGAAATCTGATTTTGTGGTTCAGCCCAATAAACCTTTTCAGGCCCAAACTACCTTACACAGCTCAATTATGGGACTAAAAAAAGAGGTAAAAGCTTTTAACACTATACACTGCCATCCCAAGAAAGCAGATACATTTCCTTATCTTGGGAAGATGACAATTACCACTTTCTTGATCTTTGAATGTTTCTGGCTTGATGCAGCCCTTTCCTTTTCTCTGGGCTAGAAAAGCTGTATTGACCATTTGAACTCCTACCTTTCGTAAGAGAAATGCACATTACAATCAGCTTTGGAGACAGACTTTGCTGAGTATCTATTTCACTTAGTAGTCAAATTCATCCCAGTTTTGAGACATATTTTCATAGATTCCGGCACGTCGCTGTGCCCCAGTTTGATTGCCTTTGTAATTTCCAAGAGGAACAAAACTCTGTGACACTCTCCTTGTAAAGAACAAAACACCATGGTGCCTGGAGGACAAGAACATGTAACAGCAGTTAAATGTACTTCAGACTTTTTTTTTCCCTTTTACCCTACTTTTTACCCTACATCAGATATATCTGAAGTTAGATGTTTGATAGAAAAGAACTTACAGCTTTTATGGTAACAGGAATTCAAAATCTGACTGGACAGGGTCCTGGGCTGACCCTGCTTGAGCAGGAGGGTTGGACTAGATGATTTCCAGAAGTCCCTTCAACCTGAGTGATTCTATGCTTCAGTAAAGTGACTGGCCAAAATTTTATCCTTGTCTACCACTTCATCTACCACAGCATGGCATGCTCCATCAACATACAAGGTAGAAATTGCAAAGTAAGAGAGGAAAGAGACAAACTTTGAAAGCTAACCATTGGGTCAGGACTGCAGACTAAAAAGCCAAGCCAGTATCAAGAACTTGTTAAGAATGGTAAAATTATTACAAAGATGATGATGATAGCCACACTGAACAGCAATAGGAGCACGAAGAATCTTATCTTCCCAAATGTCCCTCCTTGAGCCCAACGTTACAAAAATCCAACCTTCTTTCCAAGGCTTTGCCCTCTGAATGACAATACGATATTGGTAGAACCACCACTGTTACAAACAGAAGCAGGAGGAGGAGCAGCAAAGAATGTATTTTCAACCGTAGCAAAAGAGATGACTAGATGTGATTATTTTATGATTGAATTGTGTCACGCTTCCCTGCTTTTTTCCCTTCATTTCTGCGTTTTACCTTGATGTAAAATTGTGCTATACTCTCACAAAAAAAGATTATATATGAGATAAAAGTCTGACTTGAAGAACATGTAATGCACACACCCAGTTAAAATGCTACATTTATGATGGGGGTACCAGGTTCTATAGCTAGTGAAAATTAATTTCATTTACCATTGCATGAACTCCTCTTGCACAAAAACATTAATCAGTTTTTTGAAGCCAAGCATGAATTCATTTTTTAAGGCAATGAGTGAAAAGTGGGATACCAACATAAAATTCAGCTCCTCATTTGAATATTACTGTGCTGAAAGTAGACTACAAGGCACTGTTCCCCCCTCCAGAAAAAGAAAAGTGTCCCGACCTTGGTGAAAATGGTGGTGGATAGGTTAAGATATTTTTAGGCCACTGCGAGCAGATATTTCACAGAGAAGTAATACTGACGGGAAAGATTACATCACTGCGATTACTGTGAATAGTCCTAGCATCAGAAACAATAATTATTTGTGGTAACACCTTAGTCAATTTACCATTATTCATACTGAAAGAAGGATGCTCTCATATAGCAACCTTGATATTTTTAACTAAATTAAGAGATTTGTCCAGGTTGATACAAAACGCAACTCCCTGACTTGCCTGTCACAACGCATCCACAAAAACAACGCATTTCCCCTATAGTGGGGAAAGTGCAACTAAATTTTTTAATCATATTAGATACATTGTATATACTGTAAATAAACCTCACCTCTCAATGTAGCAGTTGTTTTTTCCTTACTAAAGAAAACTCAAGGAAACAATATTCACTCCACTCAACTTTTGACAGCTCATCTCAGAGCTCATCTGAGCCCTTACAGCCATGGTATGAGAGGGGCAACTGCTGCCTGTTTTACCTGCTGTTGCTGCCCAGGCAACAGATTAAAGCTACTGCCTGAACTGCAGCAGTCCATGATGCTACAGAAAACTGAGGACCAGGATGTGCTTATGGGGAGAGAGCTGCTGCCAGCTTTTACAAACCCTTCCCCTCCTTCCTAGTCTCTCCCAGAAACTTGGAGCGCCAAGAAGGGCACTGAGGGCAAGGTAAAGTAACATGAGCTCCTTTTTGCCCTGCATTTACTCCTGAAAGAGTGGGAATACTGGGATATTGATTTCCTGACTTTGTGGCAAAAAAGTTTTTATTTCACAAGGAAAGCAACAGATGCCTCCCAGATCTGACAAATAACCATAATAATACATAGCCAGTTCAACCCAGGAAGCATCCAGGTAGCCAGAAATCAAGATCAAAGCATAAAGGTATCTTGTTGCTTCCTCCATTTTGGGACTATTTAGCCCTTTAGGTAGTCAACGAAACATGATGTCTATTTTTCATTTGAACACCAGCTGCCAAGGCCCTCTTTGGTTTAGCAGCAGCCAGCAGAATCTGCAGCAAATTATTAACCCTGCGGTATCTCCTGCACGAAGCAGTCACACAGGAGGGAGGCAGGGAGGCATGCCTGGAGCAGCTGCATACTCGAACTCCCCCATTAGCAATTTTCTAGAATGAGTTACTGTGGCATCATCCTCTGATGGCAAAGATGATGTAACGGTTGAATGGACTAATGAATTTTTAACCTCAGATTTGCTGGTGTTGGAAAAAGTGTGCCTATGCAAGCAGCAAATTCCAACTACCACAACCCTGTGCAAGTTTTGCAGATAAAACCAACGTCCACTGTGCAATCAACTACAGTTCTGAATTTAGGACAGTCTAATCTCAGACACTGATATTCAAATATTTGAAGCTAAGTTAAATAACATCAAGGCTTAGAAAATATATGGTCTTGTTTTGCAAGTGAGTGATACTCTCCACAAAGCTTTAAATTTCCTCCTAATTTAATAATAAATTTTACTAGCATGATCTAAGGATAAAATTATTTTTCTCCACAGCTTTGCAAATTTGTTTCAATTACAAGTCTGGATAGTTTAATTAGGGAAGCATGTTTAGTTTAAGAAAAAAAATTGGATGGGTTAGAAGAAAAACCCTTCTAATGCTCCCTAGGGTCTACGGGTCCTTCAACCACAATTTGATGTGAATGAAACCATTATTGTTCTTTTGACTCCCGCTGAGCCATTATGTTAACAGTTTTCTAGAAATTTGAGTAGCATTTTACTACATGTTTTCGTTATTCCACTAGCCAGGATTTTAGCCCTTAGACATAAGTAGTTTCAAGGTTTAAATTAGTTTTTGTTCAACATTCTGAGAAAGCAATATCCTTTTAATTTTATAGATTCTTATACAAATTTTAGATTGGCATATGGTGGCTATTTGAAATTAACTGAGAGAAAACTGCATGTCCCTTTTTTTCCTCTCTTTTTAAGCATCAGTCAGTTTAACATATTAAAACCTGCAGCAATGAAGACTCAATCAAGCAAATGAAACTGAACACACCCACTGACAGACACTTCCTGCCATAAAAATGCTCACACATTGGATGGGAGGGAAGGGCAACACCCTAATAAAATCTAACAGAGAAAACAATAAAAAGGGTTAAAAGGTAATAAAAGGATTATTATCAAGCTATATAGACTAAGCCAAACCTTTAAGTGATATTTTATTGCATTAAAATGCGAGCTTTGATGATCCAGCTGGTGTTTTAACTGCTTTAGAGCCAAAATACTAACTTCTTTTTATACCCCGGTGTGTGCAGCTATATAACAGATGCTTGCTGTACAACCTTCTTGAAATGAAGTCACTTTCAAATAAGTTGCAGAAAATATCTATGCAATATCATTCCAAACAATTTGCCACTTTGGCTCAAAAAGGAAAGAAATACTTACAATACTTCCTTTGCAACTGCACCAGTATAATACTGAAGTAAACAGTGGGCAGTTTGATATCTACTGCTCTTAGAGGCTTCTGTTCCTGTGATAACTCAATTAATCAAACTGAGCAGGTAAGTGTAATTTTCTTGAAAAAACAAAACTGATGAGCTGCAAGCTCTGGTTTTCTTCAAAAGGCACTTCAAGTAAAGTTTTATATAGACGTTTCTGACACATGCATAGACTGCTCTAAAATGAGCACAAAACTTCTAGGCTAATCAAAGCAACAAAACTGTTACAGACGGACAACAAAAACTAGAAAAAGCAGTAATCAAGTTGATGACAACTCAGTTTAAATGCCAAAATTCCTTCAGAGCAAAATTTCTAACATGTCTCTAATGATCAAAAATAAACTCATTAAGTCCTGTTCTTGAAGTTGGTTTAAAATAGCATCTTTATATCCTGTATAGGTGCCATACAGCCCAGAACCTCCACAAAAAACCACCAAGCAGCTGATGCAAGCCTCCAATTTTCCAATAATGCCTAGTCTTTCAGAAGGCCTAATGCATTATCCAAATAATTTGAGTATGGCAAGAACCTTCCCTTGTAGGAATAGCAGCACTTTCAGTTAGGGATGACAAGTAAGTCTCAACATATCCCCTCATTATCCATTTTCTGCACTCTTGAATATGTCATATTGGTTTCCTCACCTGATAGGGACACGGGATGTGATATTCTCTGCAACGTTCTTGAATCCACGTCGTCTCCCACACACCTCGATAAGCCTGCTCATAGAAATAGCAGCCAATTACAACCAACAGTGGCACGAGGTACAGAACACTGAACACGCCAATCCGGATCATGAACTTCACTAGTTTGTCCTGGTTCTCTTTTTCTAATGGGATTTCAATGCGAACCCGATTGAGAGAGATAATGCCAGCTAGCAGAAGGGAAACTCCAACAACAACATACAGGCAGAGAGGTGCAAGTACAAAGTATCTTAATGCATCCACATCATAGAGGCCAACAAAACATACGCCGCTAATATTGTCACCTTCAATTTTATTCATTGCTAAGAGGATGATGGTTAGAGTTCCTGGAATGCCCCAGGCACTGGCGTGGAAGAGCAATGCTTTCTTCTCGATTGCTTCACTGCCCCATTTTGGCACAGCTGCCAAGAACCATGTGATGGTAAGAATGACCCACCAAACACTGCCAGCCATTGTAAAGAAATAGAGCACCATGAAAAGCATGGTGCAAGCTTTGTTGTGAGAGCCCTGTGTCACTGTGGAAGCCTTGTACTGGGCAGGGCTAGATGCGTTACACGCTACTCGGTCTTCAAGCAGAAAGCCAATGAAGAAAATTAATGACACCATCATGTAACAGACAGCATAAAATATTATCGGTCTTTCTGGATAGCGAAATCTTGTGACATCGATCAGAAAAGTTAAAAAAGTAAACAAGGTAGCAGAAAGGCAGACGATGGAGATCACTCCGATGAAGTAGCGAGCAAAGGAGAGCTCTTCACGGCGAAAGTACATATTTGGGCAAGGAGGGGAACAGTCCCGTACGCTCAGGAAAGAGTAACCCAGATCAGGGTCAATTTTCAACTCCCGAGGACACCAAAAACCATAATCCCTCTGTACTGCCATTGGGGCCTCTTCTGTGGGCTCCCCAGCTAAATTGAGGTCAACAAGACGAGGATATGGCTCATCACAATCTGGGAATCTAAAAAGTAAGAAAAGAATTATTTATGAGGAATATACATATACTTTGCAAAGACTAGTAACCTTATTTATATGTCTGACTTTAGACATACTAACTGCAGCGAAAACAAAGACAATCCAAATAATGGGTAATCCATGAAATACTACACTATGTTTAAACAAACTCTAGAACTCATTGTCGCAGAATGCAGTGGATGTTGAAACCATAAAATGTGTTTAAAAATAAACCAAAGAAATAAATGGACAATGGGCCCATTGGGGCTTTAAGCATAAAGGTGAGGATACAAAATCCATCTCAGGAAGTCTATAAGTTTAGGCTTACTGTAAACTGAGACTATGTGCCCAAGGAGGCATGATTTTATAGAACATTTTAAAACCTTTCCCTAAGCAACTGTACCAGCTGCTATCAGAGAGGACGGTGAGCTAGTTAGACCAAAAATCCAACCTAGCACTGCTACTAGCATTAATAATTGAAATTATGATGAAGATATTTCTGCACTTAAGTAAAGCTCTGACTGGAGGCTAAGGGCTGCTGGAGATGCAGTCTGAAGTTTTGAAGAAGAGCCTGGAGGGATTCCATGCATAGCTGTTCGATTCTTCCCTCTGCTAGATGTTATCGCCTCAGCAAGCGCAGCACAAGCTAAGCCTGTTCCTCTGCCACAGTTCATGTTCTGGCACAATGGCACTAACACAGCATCAGCAAAGTTTTAGTTCTGGTTTTGAAATTTCCCTATCTGGGCCTTATTGAGGAGATGGCAGGGCCTAAAGGGCCCAGGCATCTGTTCGCAGCATGGAGTTAGAGCAATCTTTGATCCAGTTTATCAGGACCTAGAAGCATCCTCTGACTTATTCTTTTGCTAAAAGAAGCTTTAATGGTTTTTCATTCTCTCCAGTCCAACTGGATAGAGAAATTATTTCTTCCTGTTTGTGCTCCTGTATTTTATTAGCTGTTGCAGTCACTTGTAAAAAAAATAAAGCACAAAGATACTGTTTTTAATTTCATGTATATTCTGTTTCAAATAGATTGAAACATCACCAAATATTTTTCTATGAAGTTATTTGTGTAATGTAAAGCTGAAAACATCTGTTTGCACACAAGCTCAACAAGAGCTAGATGCTCTGAAAGCAGAGCTTTGAGATTTTATACACTCATCAAAGCCAGCCAGCTCCCCCTTCAGAAAAAGAGACTGTTAGTCTCTAGCGTATCTAATTTTGCCTAACTCTCAAAGAAATTTATAGCAGTATCACCTATTAAACTCTGGTATAGCAGACAAAACCAGGTCAGCATAAATGACAAAGAAGAAGAAAAATAGATGGGTATATTCATTCATTTAAGAATATGCATGTGCAGTTTACAGTAATTGCCCACAGAAATTTTCAACTTATCTCTTGGGCAGATGATAGAAATATGAACTCAGTTTCCACCCCAGGAAACAGGCTATTACACAAATGGAAGGGAAAATAAGGGCACTTGTAATGGAACACATTTAAAACATGTTTCAGATCATAAAACATCCTAAATCATACTAAAATTTTATCCTGGGATTCTGAAAAAAACAGATTTGCTCACCTGGTGCACTCCATATCCTCAGGCCAAGAGACCCCAAACATCTCCATGAGTTTGGAGCACTCGCTGTACGCTCTTTGACAGAGTCTGCGACAAGGGAGAGTGACACGGCCGTACTCCATGCACACAGGAGCATAGAGGGCACACAGAAACGGTCGAAAATCTCTGGAGCATTCCAAATTCACCATCGGATGAAACGGCTAGAAAAGAAAATGAGAATTCAATAGCTACGAACAGCAGTTTTGTAGAACACTTCAGCAGTAAGCTATAATTTGTCTCATGAGATGTTAGGGCTTTCACAACCATAACCACGACCTTCTTTTTCTGAACTTTGTCTGTTGGAAGAAGTGATCATCATAACAGAGCACTTACATATTTTAGGAAGACAGGCAATCAAGAAGCCTGGGGACAATGACAAAGATTCACAAGGGACATTTATGTACTCGATTTGCATTAAAATCAACAGGAATTAGACACCTAAGCACCTTTGAGGATTCAGGCTTAGCTTCACACTCTCCAATAACAGTCATATAAACTTGATTCCTTTTAGTGCTTGTGTAACTGACAGACATATCATGAATTGCTAGCTGCTTATTTAGTAGGATAATATGAAAAACTCGCATTCGGTCAATGAGATTACAATCTGAAGAATGTTAGATAACGCAAGATTCCTTGACAGCATAGAAATATAGCATACTGTGATCTTTCAAATATTATTTTCAGATCACAACATAATATTTGTAAATAATCTCTCTATTTCTTGAATTTCTTCAGCAGGGCAGTGTTCTTCATATCTTTCTACAAAATGCAAACACAGGACATTTGCCATTGTGTTCTTCCCACAGCGTCTTGTCCAACTGAAGAGAACCCACCTGTTAAAATCTCAGTTCTATCATCAGAGTATATCTGTGGACAGAAAACAGTCCCAACGTGCATGCTATCATTGTTAAATAAATTCTCACACAGACATAGAACTTTCTACCTTCCAGAACAGGGCTGTAATAACAGTGAAGTCATGTTAAGTATGTCATTTCTTGACTAACCATCAGAAAGCACTGTGAAATCAAAGCCTAAAAAAAAAATTAGTCAGAAAAAATAACTGGTGTCTTGTGCTACTGCGTTGCCTTATAATAGGCATGTGATGTAATGGTGATAGCAACACTCCTTGGAAGCACCAAGAGAAAAATCTATCACAATTAGCCAATATACAGCTATTCTCAAGTATTTCTGAAGATGAAAAAGAAGGAAAAAAGTAGGACAGGGATTTATGTCTTAATAAAAACTGGTGCACATTGATAATCCATGTTACCTTCTTACTCTCCAGTGTGGGTTCATTTTGCTCTTGCTTGTTATGGCCTGTCTTTAAAACTCTCCAGGAGTCAACCGATATCTTATTCTGAGTTTGTGTGGCACGTACCACTACACAAAGCCTCACCGTATCTTCAGATATTAATATAAGATCAATTATATTCTCTTAGGACTGGAACTACAGAATACTGAAATACATTAGGACTTACAACTCTAGAATAAAACCAAACAGCATGTGAATGTTGAATTACTCTGCTACCTCCAGACAGTAGTGACATTTTAGTAAGCCACTTCTTTTCCTTGACTTATATTTCAAATCATAGCTTGACAGGGAAAGGTGACAGTTGCTGGATCAATGGCAATGCTAACATGAGCTCTGTTGTAGATGGATTTTTATTATCTTGATATCAGAGTTTCCTCTTCTCCACAGCCTACCAGGATTATAGAGCAAGAAGTCTAATCTTCAGAATTTGTGGTGCAATAGCAGAAGCACAAATGAACCTGATATATATATATAAAACCTAAATCTTATTATAACTGAAGCTGAAAAGTAGGCTGTAGAAAGATTACATTTTCAAACAGCAATTTCCTGAGAAGTATTTAAAACCAATTCAACATTTTCTTTTTCCAAACTATAGAACAGAACAGACCCAACAACAAAAAATAGGTCATCTTCTGTGGCAATATAAATGACAATTACTAGAAACGATGAGGAAAAGGTTCACATTTCAGTTCCTCGTTATTGCCTCCTTACTCTTCCAATTCTTCCTATGCGCCTCCTTCGCTCTGCAAAAGGTTAATTTTTGGAATACAAGACACAACCATGCTGTGATTTTACTGATTTTCTTTAACATAATTATTATTTACCAAGCTGATTAAATTCTCTTCAGTGCTACACATTTCTGAAAATGTTGTCACATGACAAGAGAGCCATGCAATTTAGCAATAGCTTGTATGAAGAGCAGTATAAGTCTTCAGAGCTATTGACAAGGAAAAAGGAAGCAACAGTTGGAAAGTATTTACATTTACAAACTCATTGTTACTCAAGGAACACTTTTTATTTGGCTGGACATTTACTTCAGATGCATATAGGCTTTTATTTTTAAATAGATATTGCCTATAACACAGCTAAAGCTATTGTTTGACAACAACGATCCAAGAAATTGATTCTAGGTAGTTATGACACCTGACATGACTGGAAAAGCTTAAGATAATAGTCTTCCTTTATTTGATGGAAAGGGAAAATAAAAGGAAAACTCCACTTTTATTTTGGGAAGTGTTTAACTTTCCTTCTTTTCAAAGAATCTTGAAAATAAGAAAATAAAGTTATATCTTTATGAAAAAGAGCTACAGGCTTAATGCCTGCCCCCCGCCAAAGTCTTGCCTCCTGCCACGGCAGTTTTGCATGTACCCATACCTAAATTTCAACTTCTCCTGACAAATGCTCTACTAATCTCTTCTGATATGCCTTCCATTAAGAAAAGATGTTTCAGAAATTTCTCTTTTCCTGCTACTTCACCTTCATTAAAAAAATCTGTTTGGTTTTGGTTGATCTGCAGAAAGCTGTACCATTTAGGAAGATCCCAGACTATCTCAAGGTGTGCACGTAAGAAAACTGTGCAAACAGAGCTCCAGATCACGGCTATTGCAAAGCAAAGGAAAAGTAGTAAAGCAAGTTCAAGGGAACAGAAAGGTACCAGTATTTCCTCGTATCCTGTTGATCCTACTACAGGCAGGTGGCTGTTGTAACGGCTTTCAGCCAACTCCAAAGGACACTGGGCAACGGTGTCCAAGGGAATATTGGAACTGAGACAGGAAATGTCCAAAAATGGGGATGCAGATGGTGCTCTTTGGCAATGGCTCCAAGGTCTGAAAGAGCACTCTCAGTAAGAGCAGCGCGTTCCCCGGCTGTCCCCTTCAGCAGCCCGAGGGCTAATTTACAGGGTGCTCAAACACACAGGCCGTGAGACAGCTGCCTAAACACCGGCTTCTCCTGCTATCTAATATGCCACCTATTTTCCAAGACATCCACATGGGCCTGGATGGTCAGGCACAAGATCTGTCCTCTCTTGGGCCTGACAGATATGACGCAGGGTCTGTGCAGAGACCCACTCCCTTCCGGCAAGGCAGCTGGAGGCTGGGTTGAAGACACTGAAACATCTGAAGTAACACTAGTGTAACTGAATCTTCCCTGACAAAGGGAACGTGGGCAGAGGGCACGTTAGCTGCACTTAGGGTGCTTTAGAGCCGCAGAAGACAAGTCTGGTTTTGAGCATGGCCTTGGCATACTCCTCAAAACACAGTATAGATACACTCAAGCCCAACAACACTGAAGAAATACACTTAAGCAGGGGTAATTTAATAGGTCTGTTCCCCTGGTGCTGGCGGTTCTGTTTCTCACCAACTCCAGGCCTCCCTCACACCATTCTGTCTCTCAAAATAGCAACTGCAGGCAGGCAAAAACTCTCTTACGAATTACATCAAATCAGTTTATTTTAAAATCATGAAGAGGTAAGCTAGACAACAGAAAAAGAAAAAACGCTACAACTACTCGTAATGTAAAAAAAATGCTTTCAACCAGTAACAGCAGCATTTCAACCAGTAAGCAACTCAGCCTGTAAGCACCCTATCTCTAAAATTATCTTACCCCATTGCAGCTCCTAAGATGAAAAGTCACTTCCACGTACTGATTACGTTGTTCAGTATTAAAAATAAAGCCAGGGAGATTCAGGATTTTTTTTACGCTCTTGCCCAAGGACGCAGTGCAAGTTGACATTTAGCCCTATTCCACTTCAGTGCCTAACAAAAGGCTCTCTGTTTAAATGGGGCGTGCTTCTGAAGAATGCCTGTTGAACAACTCAACATACAGAGGAAAAAGGAAGAGGACAAGGACAAGAGAAGACGTGATAGCCAAACTGATTTCAGTAATTCAGGCCAAGTCCTGGGAAATCCAAGAAAGGGAAGAGATAAATGTTTAAGAAGAGATAAACACTTCTTTGCTCCTGAAGGTACTTAAGTATTTAAAATATGCCAGATCACATAACTGTACAATATATCTACAGTTGTACACCCACTGGTCCTTCTACCTTTGAGAACAATCTTTATGACCATGCAAATTCCTTCAAGCCCAGTGATAACAGCAGCATTATGAACTTGACTTTTTCCAAGCTGAGTCAGAACACTCTCATCCCTCCTTTGCTTTGCCATTCAGGTGTTGTGTATCAAAGAACATGACACAATCATGTATCGCTGCTTTCCTCAGAGCAGTCCAATTTGCAGTACAACCTTACCCATCTCTTCTTTCTCTCTTTCCCAGCATTTTCTTTGCTGGTAGCAAAGTTGCTTTAAGAAATTTCCCGATTCCCAGCAGTGTGGCCCCAGCTCCTTCCCTCCCTACAATTCCTATCTGCTGAAAATGTTTTAATGGCCATGCTCTAACAGAAAGTAGAAATTTCCTTCTTGCCTTTGGTTTTCTTTTCTTTTTATTTTCAGGAGGGGATGAAAGACAAAGGAGAACCGGAATGATACATGTAGATTTTTTTCCCCCAAATAACTTTTTAAACAAATTCTCACTTTTGCTTACAAAGCAAGAGCAATAACTCTAACTATATAACTGGAACTGCGTTACAGTTTCAGACTTCTCATATTACTGAGAGATAATAAACCAAATTCTACCTTTTATTTTACACAGAGGTAGCCATTTAGCTGGCTGTTATTTGGGAAGTGACATTATCGCAAGATTTAAACAAAATTATTTTGGTAATCTGTCACTATTCTGTTTATTTATATATTCCTCTCTTTTAACAGAAAACTGAACAGGAAGCATTCTCATAAACTCATAGATGAAAGGAGGGAAGTTTTCTTCCCTCAGGCTCATGGGAAGAGAGTGATGCTATGACTATCCATTATTGTTACAATTCTCTGGTGGAAGCAACTGCCTCAGGGCATATCCTGTCTCAGGGCAGGCACATGATCTGCTCTTTCTCTCCTGTGTTGCCCTGTGTTTGAATTTAGCTTGCTATCCATTAGGAAAAAATCTTGAATTGTATCTCAAAGTCCATGGGCAATAATGCTTTCCAGGCTGCCTCCCGAGGAGAATAACAGAAGCTGCAGCTAGATTTAACTCTTCAGACAACTGCTAGTTAGACCGAACATGTTACCGCCTCCTGCTTTTGATAACTACACGTCTTCTTTGACTGAATTGCTCTCACAGCTCTGACACTTCGTGTGAATGCTCTCTAGAGACTGTTACAGGTAGAATTGGTTGTCTTGAGACAGTAGAAATTTGTTCTTCAATGGCTCTGACCTGCACGCT